TCTGATTTGTTTGTGTCATTTGTTCCTTTGTTGTGTATTCGCAACCCCTCGCGCCCCACAGAATTTATTTTGTGATTTCCTCTCTTGATTTTTCTGTTAGGCGCATTACATTTTTGCTTTTCTGAGTGTCATTGAAGTCATCGTTGATTTACGTTTTCGGGGACGGTCACTTTCGAGCAGAAGGCGCCGAGACCGAGAAGGAGAGGGACGTGTCTGTACAGTAGTTGCTTGAGTTGTGTATACGTTTTAAAAAGAACCAACAGGACAGCTCATTTGTTTTCTGTCGTTTTACTCCGCTGCAGAAACTGCCGTGTGAATGCAAGTGGAGCTGCACCGACGCTGCGCCGGTGCCAATACGCTCAGGGGCTTTGTACGTGTGAATGCTCCACAAAATTTGCTCCGGTGTAAAATAGATCGCAACAAAATACATCGGTGCAGCGCCAGAGCAAATGTGTGCCGTGTGAACACCCCTATATACACATTTGAAACACTTGAAATGACATTTTCGGCTCAGGCACAGGAATTACACCGAACGTCACCAGTTTATGGCTATTATGGTCAAATCCGCAATGAATTGTAGGTAATATGCATTGGCTGAGGGACCATAGATGCGGACTCAGCTGAAGTGTGCAACAAAGGCGCAAAAGGGATTGGGGCAACAAAGCATTTTGGAGAATTGGGACACCCTTAACACTCATAGCCTCCACGGGAATGCGCAATTCAGGACACGAGGGTGGAAGTGTTGAAATTGAGATTGGGCCAATAACTCCAAATCTGAAATCATTCTCTTCAGCATGCCAAATTTCTCTCATAACATAAAATTTTTGCCATGGTACTTTTACATAATATCTCACACAGCCCAAAACGTGCTTTGAATTTCACCTTAACAACTCCCATCAACAATACAGTATTGTCCAATCATGCGCAATCCGCATTCGCACCCTGGCACAAATCATATCAGAAATTTTTTATCCAGTCCTTGAAAAATTCATCAATATTCTCCGCAGGCTACATGACTGTAATATACTTCTCTCTGAGTCAAAGAGACAGCCTCACATCACCTTAATTTTAATCATTGCTTTGGCCTTCAATTGGTTTTAGAATTGATTTTAAGATTTCACTGCGAACTTTTAAAGCATATATTATTCTGGCTCTCGGCCAAAGTCAATGAACTATGAACAATTTAAGAGCCAGCTTTGCAGCTTCAGATCCTCGGGTGCAGGCTTCTGGCTGTTCCAAAGTTTTGGTTTAAAGCTACCAGGCGATACTGCATTCTCCATCAGGGCAACTCAACTTTTGAATGACCTGCCCGAGGAGTTAAGATATAGTGTGCCAAATCAGTCACAGCTTTGAAAATCACTTCTTAAAACTCACTTCATGGAATGTGATTGGGATGTGGTCTCTCTCTCTCTCTCTCTCTCTCTCGCTCTCTCTCTCGCTCTCTCTCTCGCTCTCTCTCTCCTTGTGATTATTTTGTTTAATATATGCTTTCTGTTTCTGTCAAAGCATTTTGGAAACATGTTTTTAAAGGTACTGTGTAAAGTTATTTATGATTGTGATTATGTTATTCTGGCTCCATGTTTCTGTTGTCTCAGTCTGACTGGGGAATCACCGATGGAAAATGGAGAGACGATTTTCAAGAGCAGAGCCAGTCACCAATCCACTTTGGAAGAAGAGGAGGAAGAGGTGGTGAGCATGAGCTACAGAATTCACTCATTAATTTAGTTTTTTTTTTCTTCTTCTTCTATGATGCAGTTGTACCGTAACTATTTTTTTGTTATCATGAATGACGGATGTCAAGCTGAATCCAACATACTGTAGATTGACATACAGTGTGAAACAGTTTTGCACTCTATATTGATTTTAATAGTGATTGTTTTTGCATTTTTGGTTGCTTAATGATTGTAATTGTTTTGTTTTTCAGAGCTTGAAGGGACATCCGCCACCAGCTCCACTGTTAGGTGATAACAATGATGATGATGATGATGATAATGACGCTGACTGGCTGAGTTAAAATGCAGTAAAAACTCAAATTAAGCAGATCAAGGGTCTCTGATCTGACTCTGCTAATGATGTTAGTCTGATTTATAATAATATTGACTGTGGCAGACCCAGCACACTGGAAAGTTGACCAAAATATTAAGATCTGTTTTTAGCTTATAAAACAAACAAACAAACACAAAACATAAGATTCTGAACAACTTGATTCGTTTTTGTGGAATCTGTTTAAGATACTGTGGAAATACAAAGTGCATACGCATCCCAGTTCAAAAGCTGTTCAAATGTTTTTGTGATCCAAAAAAAGAGGAGGAGATTTTCAAAAATGATTCCCCCATTAATGTGACATAACGTGTACCTCTCCAAGAGGGTGAGGGAAAAAAAAAGAACAAATAATGCGGTTGTACAAGCATGCAAATCCTCTTATGGCCATGATGTGGTTATGTTCTCAACCGGACTATCACATTCATAGTCATGTTAAATGGAGGTCCTTAGACATGTGCCACCATTTAAAGTGCCTCCGATTCACCCCAAACATAGTTCAACGGTTCTAGTAGGCTTTTCCTGACATATTTTGCTGCCTAGCAGAAGTTAGGAGATTTTGTTGCCACCACTGACTCCTACTCTGAATTGTTCATAATTCCTTCCACCTTGTCTCAGATTCCAATTCCAGCGGAAGACAAACAGCCCCAAAGCATACTGCTACCACCACCATGCTTCACTGAAGCGATGTTTTTTTTGTTTTTTTTTCTTGGCAACGATCAGTTATGTTTGTGGCAAAAGCTTTTGGAATAATGGCCAAAGATCTGAACCTTGGTTTCATTGAACATGACACATTTTCCCCCACATGTGTTTGGGAGAATTGTTACGGCTATTGACACCAATGTTGAACATTGTAGCCATAATTCCAAACGGTGTGTTTGGTGGCACCAACAACTCTGATCATCACCAAAAGAACGCCATATCTGCAGTGAGGCATGATGGTGGCAGCAGGGCCTTAGACAGTCAAATTTATTTGGGGTGAATCAGAGGCACTCTCAATGGGAGCAGGTGTGTGCTACTTCCCAATTAACGTGGGTTTGATTGTGACTGGTTAATTCTGAACAATGCCACATCCCAAGAGGGTGTGCACAATTGTTCAACCTCATTATTTCAGTTATTTTTACACCCCGTCTGAAAAGTTCAGTATGCAATCATGAAAAAAAATGTTGAGTTGCATGGGCTATAGCTTACCTTTAATGGTGGAAAAGGTTTTGAGAGGATGCATCTAAATCTCCTTTTTTAAAGCACAAAAACCTGACATTTGAACAGTTGGATGTAGACTGTTTGTATCTACTTTTACTACAGCACAATAGGTTTTGGAGTCAGTGGTTTTCCTGTTGTCTAACATTTCAAAAAAATAGCATTGGTCATTTTTAACATTTACCATGAGAAAATGTTAAGAGTATACTTTTACACAATTTTGCTAACATGGATGGATGAATTCAACCTACTCAATAAAGATCTCAAACATTTGTTAAGTTTTAAATGTTTAATAAATTTACACATGGTTTACACGGGTTGCTTGTTTTGTAAACCTATCTTTGAGTTTTTCTTCTTAGCTGTATTATTTAATGATGTGTATTGCTTATTTGGTGGTATTTTTAACAAGCACTGAATAGTTTTTAAACATGTCAACTCAGTTTATCAATGTCAAATAAAACATTTTACTAATTTTAGTAAGATGATTCAAAAAGAAAAATAGAATCATCACATGGACACAAGATTTCGGAGTCCTTGCTTTAAGAGAAGAAATGTCACTCATAGACCCAAATATTTCACTTCATCGTTTTAACGTACAGTGCATCTCGAAAATATTTCCACTTTTGTTCATTCTACCGCTTTTTTCCAAAATGGAAAGTGGTGTCCTCAAAATTCTACACACACTTAATGACAACATGAAAAAACTGTCTTTTTTGTGCAAATGTATTCAAAATGAAAAACTAAGCGTTCACATGTAAATACTTTGCTGAGGCATGTTTGTCATTACTTTTCCTCCTGCACCCACATCCTGGGAAGTTGGCTACAGTCATGTGGATCTTAAAATACTGACGATAGAGCGATATGCAATTCAGCCACAAACACCATGTCACCAAGCTACATAGTATCTTACTTGTCTCCCTTTAAGTAAGTATACTGATTGATTGATTACAAGTTTGCAGACACCGGTAGTGTTAATTAGAGGACAGGCCTTGGTTGAACATGTCCCTTATGATCAAATTATTTTCACTCATTTGTTGCTCCAATTACAGTGTTTTGTCTGTCATGAGTTTTTTTTTAATAATTCTGCTGAATGTTTGATTGTCCTTGGTTATTATTGTTTCTTTTGTCAAATTCAACTAATTTCTGTGACCACTGCAGGGTTTTTATTTCATTAACACAGGGGTACCAACAATTTAGTTCATATGAGTGTACAAATCACTGAATCTGAGTGTGAGGACTTGTATATGGACTTGGTCGGCTTGATTTTTACACACAGTAATAAAAGAATAAAAGTTGCTCAAGACATTTGGGGTGGACCCCCCCCCCCCAAAAAAATAAAAAATAGGGCCACAACCACCTATGCAATGGAAAGAGCAGGCATGATTTTAGAATATGAGAGAAAGCCATATAACCCTGGTGAAAATCCACATAAACCCATGGGAGAAACTTGTGGTGTGCAATAATGCATATTTTGGTATTGATCCCTTACCAAGTAATACAGAGCCATTATCGCTGATAGTTTCAATATTTAAGGTTGATGCATCATCAAATTGCTAAATATCAGTTATTTTCATGGCCAGTAAGTGTTTTGGTGATATTTCCTTTTTTAATGATTTAATAGTTAAAAGTCAGGATACAATTTGGACATTAATTAATAAAATAGGAAATACTATACTACTTTTTCAATATACATTGCTAATGTATGAATTGTTTTTCATTAAAAGAAAAAATAAATAAATTTTTTCCATGTTCTCTTCAAAAACAACTACCGGTATATAAAAAATAGCCCCTTCATTACACTTCTTTTCTCTTTCTATATATATATTTTTAAATAAGTTGTTCAAGATTATCATCACTCATTGTTCAGGACCAGTTTACACGGCTAAGTTGCGGGTTAACTACAGAGAGTTAAGCTTACGGAGTCCTATTAAAGTGAGCGACAATGATGATTCCTGCTTCGCGTTCCCAAGGTGGCACAGTGACAGTCAATTACTTGTGTCGAAAAGATTGCCAACAATTGATGCACTATGAAGAAAACTGATTTTTAGCTCTTTATTTATTGACAAGACAGGTCAGAGAACCATATAATACAGTGGTGTTCAAACAACGCCCGTGAGCCATTTGTGGCCTGTGATCCACTTTTTAGCGGCCCGTGGTAAATACTAAAAATAAATTTTAACAATCTGCAATGCTATTTGAAATAAAATAAACTGGGGGGTGGGCAGTGTCAGAAGTGTAGCTGTGAAGGGACGTTAATAATGCAGATCACCACTACCTGTACTAATAAAGTCACAAAATATGCAAGTACAGAAATAAATTTACAGAAGAAATAGATATACTTAAGGAGGTAAAATGTGGACACTTCTGAGATTAGTACTATATCTTTCAGGGGATCCAATACAAAAAACATTTCCCCGTTCAGCGCACTTTGCTTTTTCTGGGGAAAAAATGTCGAAAGTATAATAAAGTGGAAGCAATTTCCAAGGCCTTAAAAAAAAAAAGCCACAGGTGGAGTGTGTGGGGTTTTTTGTTTTGTTTTTCAATGCGTGCCTCCAACGAGCTGCTCCTTATTTCTGTGTGGCGCATTGCTTGCGTTACGATGACGTACACAACAAAAGAGGAGAAACTATTGCATCAACTTGATGGCGCTAGTCTCCATCCAACATTGGTAATGCAGATGTTTTGATCGGCGACCTACCACTAGGAGAAACTCGCCATGAAAGGCCCCTGTGATTAAAAGGAGTAAGCATTTTTCTAAATCATCTTATGTTACACGATTTTTAGATTATATGCAGTTTTTGTGCCCATTTGTTTGTCAACATACAGTTACTGTTAGTGTGTATATGAATGGATGAGAGGGTGGTATCGACTTTGCGCACTTTGTAATTTGTTGCTTTATGAAGTTGATGTACTTGGATTAGATAGCGTGCAGACCTGCCACATGCTATATGGCGGAGAGACGCTGACGTATCGTGGCAATAGGCTAACACGCTTGATGCGGTGTCGTTGTGTACATGTCTATTGCCTGAGCTTCGGTGCAAATAATGCTGCATTGGAATAAAGTAAGAAATCGGAAACATCCCACTCTGATTGTCCCAGTTCGACCTCAAAGCGTTCGAGGTGAATGTAAACAACAAATATGACAGACTCCGATAAATTGTTTGTTGTTTTGGCTCATCACAACACATTTTCACCTTCAGCAATCGTTCTTCATAATTTCATTAATTTTAAAAGTAAAGGACTGTTTATGTTCTAAACAATTAATTCATTTCACCAAATAACTGAAGGGAGATCGCAGTCGGTACAAATCACGTTGTGTTACGTGATTTATTATTTCGAAAAACTAAATGAATGCAATAATAAAGCTTAATGTGTATTTATGATCTCGTAAATTGGATTTTGCCATTCACCGTCTGTCGACATGCTGTCGCAATTGTCGAGTGACGTCTCATTGGAGTCGGAGTCCGCAAAACTCGCACCTCCTCAGTTCCTAGTCGGAAGTCGGAAAGTTGCCTCCTCCGAATGCCGCATACGGCAGTCACTGGATAGTATAGTGATCCAGGTTTGATCCAGTTGAGTTGCCGTACCACAGCTACTGCAACTCTTGTAGGAAGGTACAACACGTAACCATTTATTTCCAAACGAGGTTGCGGACAGGGAAGCTACGGACGGGATCATACATTCAAATGTTGGTCCGATTTTCAGCAATATTGGCAACGATCTCAATCTAGCTGGACCCCTCAGTGTCTCCACAATGAGTGGCATGAGAACCATCGTGGGCACGACGGGCATGATTGCAGTGTTGGGGCTCGGCTATGGGATGTGGGCGCTCATTGCTCCGGGAGAAGAGAAGCGAAAAGAAATGCTCAAGGTGACTGCACGATGTCATGTATGCCATTTGGCGTACCGAGAAAAGCCGGAGGTTGTTCGTATTGATATTTGTTGTTTCGCGTCTAGGTTCCATGTCGCATACTACCGAGACTAAATGTTCAGTCAAGCCAACAGTCTGTGTATATCTAGCATCTGAAGGCTCGGATGTGTTTTTCTTTTAGTTTCAGATATCACGAGCGTATCGTCATAGTTCTAAACTGCAGTGCCACCTAGTGTTTTGGAATAACATTGACGTTTTATAACACGTTATCTGCATTTGTTTTTACAAGTAATAATAATTCTTTACACTATCAGAACATATTTTCACATTGTTTCGAATAGTTGTATTTTTTTTCTTCGAAATACCTAACATATAATAACTAACAAATACTGAATGTGACTTTGATCAAGTCTCAAGGTCAAGGTCATCTTTATTGTCAAATATGCTTTATGTATGACATGCAGCATAGATGAAATTTCTTCCTCTCAATCCTCAGTGCAAACATGCTGTGCATTAAACACACACAGCTAAGACAAGATAGCAGCTACGCTGTATAAAAAGACAATATGTAATCTGAACAGTATAAACAGTATAGACAATATAAACAACATAAACAATGGCTATTGTGGGTAAAGTGAGGTAGTGCATTGTGCAATACGCAGATGTCGGATGATGAGGGGAGGGTCATAGTCTATGACAGGAGGCAGGGGTCCCGCAGAGGCAGAGGGCGGGGAGTGCGGGCAGAGGAGGGAGGGAGTTGAGTCTCCTGACCGCCTGGTGGAAGAAACTGTTTTTGAGCCTGCTGGTTCCGGCACTGAGACTCCGCAATCTCCTTCTAATTTGGATACTGTCTCTTAAAAAGTAAGAAAGTCGAATTACTTGATCAGACACAGACTTCCAGGTTCACATCATGTTTGGTGAATATTTGAGGTTTGGGATATAGCCCCTCAAATTTTTTTTAAATCGTTAGTCTTCAATTTAATTTTTTCAACTATTTTTGTGTGTGCTCAATTGTTGGAACAGAAGTCTTTTATTATGTTTCTGTGTGACTGTTGCAGTGCACTAAGCAATGTTCATAAACACATACTTGGATTAATTTGGTGAGAAGACCACCACACCAGCGTCCTATCAATGACATCATAAATATTATTCTGAGTTGGCAAAACAGTTCCTATAAATATGTTTTAAAACTCTTCCTTGAAGTGTAGAAACAGATCATCAATTGAAGACATACTGACCAGGCCCATCCGTCAATTTTCCATACTGCTTGTCCTCATTAGGGTGGTGCGTGAACTGGAGACTCGTTTAAGAGCATTAGCAGTAGTCTTGAGCAAAGAATAAAATGTCCAAAAGATGAAAACGGTCAAAATATGTAATCCACTGTGTGATGCTAACGAATTTAAATAGTTCTTTCCATTTAGACAAAGGGGCGGGGGAGGGGGTGTAATGATTGAGGTCCACTTGGTAAGCATGTCTGTCTTACTGTCAAATAGTTCTGGGTTCAAATTATGGTTTGTGGTGTTTGGAGAGTCTCCTATTGTTCTTGTGTGTGTGTTTTTTCCCCTGTTATTCCGTTTTCCTTGCATATGTCCCATAGAAATAAAGGCATGTTTGGTTGATTGAAGACCTTAAATTGCTCATCAGTGTGACTAGTTTTGTCTCTTCCATTTACGTCTGAATGACTGCCTAAACAGGATGCGCGTAAGAACATAGTACAGATGAAATCTTGCAGGTTCATGTTCATGGTTAGATAAGTGATTGCATTTCTGATGACATCCAAATCTAATTTGTGAATGTAATATAATATATATTAGGATGCTTGCGAAGTGGCGAATGTTAAAAGTCAGTATTGTTCCTCTGAGTAGTTAGACTTTCTCCTTCTCCTCTCAGATTTGCAAATTTAAAATTAATTGAATTGAATACAACTTTATTGTCAAATGTGTTGTACGTATGTGTAACATACAGAATACGGTGAGTGTAAAGTTGTACAAGCACAAAAGTGACAGTATGCAAACATTTGGCCTGCCTCCTCACAGTGTGAAAGCTTTACATAAATACATAAATAAAGATGTGAACGTTTTAGTTTCATCCTTGCTCAGAGTTGCTCTGAGCTTGTTCTTGAATCATCTTAATGGAGACATGCTTTTTTTCAACAATTTAAAATACTTCCCATGTGTCATAGAAATAATACTAATTCTTTTTTCCCTGCGAATCACTGATTGTATTTTTGTGCCTACTGACCCCCAGAATCTGCCCGAGTCAAACCCAATGAGAATGGAAGAGACAAGGAAACGAAATGCTCTAGTAATGCAGACACTCAAGGAGGCTGCGGAAACCAATGAAAATCTTGCAAGAGGATTGGGAAGATCTGCAAAATAGGCGTGACCCATTTTGTGATCTGTTGTCATATTGCTGAACTCTGCAGCCAGAGAAAATAGACATTTGATTGTTATACCACTGTTAAGTATGGAGTATTTCACGAATACATTAAAACTATAAGAAAATGTGTGATCAGTTAATACATACACTGTGGTTCAAATTATGCATGTAGAATTTCAGTTAATTGAACGTGTCAGTTTTTGTTTTTCTGGGGAGCTTTTTGCATGCTATTCTCTTGTCTGTTTAGATCACTGAAATCAATCATCAGTTAGGTTTGATAATTTGGACCTCCACCACCATCTATTTTCAGTACTGCGAGTTCGGGCTGTGGGTAAGCGGGAGGCAGGCACGGGAGGCGGGGTACAACGTGGACCAGGGGAGGAGTCATCATTTCAGAAGTTGGGAGGACATACAGTATTGCCATTGCCCCCCCACCCCCCTTCAAAAAAAGAAAAAACTAAATATAAATTATTGACCTGTGACTACACTAAACCACTAAATACAAAATATTTATTGATTCATTTTTGTCTTCGCAACAGTCCAAGTCACTTGGCCTACAGCTACCCATTTGCTGTCTTGAAATGCCCCGTAGGCCCACAAGATCCGGTTCAGCTCGTTTCCTCTCTCCCACTGTCAAAAACTGTTCAGAAGATACCGCCAACAACAGGCACAAACAGCTCAACAATGAGAACATGGAACAAGGCCCAATTGGACTCCTTTACCAGCGAGTGACATTGCTGTTTGGTTTGGAGCTTGGAAGACACTCAAAAGGCACATGAAACACTCGACTGTGTATTTCATGTTAATCCATGGCTTTGAAAAAAGAAAGAAAGAAGGCAGGCTAACACAATAGTTTGTGACCTTTTCAGTGAACGTCCCGCCCATTTCGGTTTGAGGGGAGAGAATGACGAGATAAATTTACATCATACGCAGGGAACCAGAAAAACAAATAATGAAACAATTAAATACTTAAATACGCATTGAAACACAAAAAAAAAATGTTATATATATTGGAAAAATTATTGAATAAATCCCGCATTCCTGGTGAAGATGAGCAGACCAGAAAATGGATGGATGAAATCATAGCATTAATTCACGATCAATTTAAATTTATTTGTCGGAGTTTTGTCACTTATATCCCTCCATAGTTGTTTAAATACGAGACTCCTCCAACCAACCACCTGGGGAAATATGAATGCAAGTGGCAGGCTTCTTCGCATAAGACATAGATTAATGTGGTAGTTGTTGACACAAAATGGATATAAAGTATTTATTGAGCGGCATAATGTGATGTACCCACTTTAACGTGCGTTACAAAGTCCTGTAATGTACTCCAGCTCCATCAGTGGCGGTAACGAACCAGTAAGATAATTTACCCAGTACACGAGGAAGAACCATCGTTTGAAGAAGAAGAATTTGAAGGAGAAGAAGAATTTGAAGCGGAACCAACTTCGCTGGAGACGAAACATTGCACATAAGAACCAATCAGCTACGAAGTCACGTAAGCATTCCCTTCTTGAAAACCTACGTTAGATTATTATGTTTTTTCAACATTCCTGATTTCATATCTGGAAGTAAGTTAGATATATGGTTCGTATTTTATATTCATAGAAATTTGCGAGGTAGGGGTATGGCATCAATCGGGGCTAGGCCTGCACATGGTGGCGAATGCATGATTAGAAATTGACCCACAAGGTAAAATTATTTATAATGTTTTATATCGATAGAGTCATCATGGTTAATTCACTAAGTAGGTATATCTCCTCAGTGCTCTGTTTACAATATGGTGAGTGTGTTTTAAAAAAAAAATGCATTAATGAATGCACACACGGGAACGAAATAATATTCATGTGCGGCCGTTCAATTTTAATTTCACACCCATAACGCAAAACGTTGCCCAGCTATTTGGACCAAACCAACATTTCTTGCTTAGCTCGATAGACTGTCTTTCTAAAATGGTGGCAAATCAAAATGTAACTAAACATTTATTGGGAAACGTTGTTGGCACTGCCAGACCGGATTTCCTGGTGTTGTAGAAGAGAAGCTTGTCTTATCCAGACAATACTCTGTTATCATCAGTCACCGCTGAGGATGAAGGACAACTGCATGTGTAAAAATGAGTACAATAAAATGGCATACAGTGCGACAATTGAATAAAATACAGAGACTTGACAACAAAATTTAAATCATTTTTTCCCCCATCATAGACCAATGTCAGTGGAAAGAGTTGGAACAAAAGAACAAAACAGGATTTAAATGTTGTACATTAAGAAAGTTATGACATTCTAAAGTCAAAAATGTAGGAAACTTTCGCCATTGTCACAATGGAGTTGCCTGTGACTGCGTGCCTACGCGAAGCTGTTTCAGGACAAGAGCAAAGAGAAGCATTTTGAGTCGTGATAGGCATAGGGAACGACTATGTGCCATAAAAGCCATTTCTGCAGTGCGACCCCCATTTTCCTGTTTGTTTGGCTACCAGAGATTACCACACGATCGAAGGCTACTGGTAGCGTCCCTGTGTCTCCCCCATTCAAGGTTAGGCATTCCAGATTTTGGCATTGTATACATTGGATGTCGTCTGGATAGGTTGGTATAAATATTCCAGCTAGCTATTAACACTTTGGGCAGTCAAAAATGAGTTATCCCGTCGTACCTGTTTTAAATATGGAAATGCTGCATGAAAATTATCACATTAATAACGAGGCGACAGATTAGATTCCACTGTACATCATATCTAAAAATAGACATGGAACAGGCACTTTTTAAGAAGCCAAAGGACATTTTTCTGAGAGGAGTGCAAAAGATGAATCACAGGTTATTACTGTGCAAATTTTTATTTTCAGTTTCTCGAACATTTGAAGTGACGTACCACATACTCTTATGGGTATGAAAATAAATCTCATACTGAATCAATCTTGAAGCATATCAAAAACGAAACAAATCCAAATCATATTGAATTGCAATTGTAAGGAATCAAAATCGCATCGGGAGGTTCTTAACAAAACCCAGACCTTAGGTGGCTTTGTATCCCCCAAAAAGAGAAAACCTCATCTCTCATAATATCAGGTCATTCTTAAGTTAAGGCGCCACTCCATATGCACTATCTAATATGTGTAGTAATAGGTGGGAAACTATTTCCCTGGTCTGGAAAGTGAGAGAGTTTATTGGCTGAAAAAGCGTAGCAGGGTTACGGCTGAGTTTGTGTATTTTTATTTCTTTATTTTTTGTCTCAACGTGGTGCTTGAAGGATCATGTTGGCCTGAGCCAAACTCCAGGTATAAAGCGTGTAACCTTATCAAATGATAGTCTATAAGAACAATATGTTAAAGTCAGTGGAATCTGCAAGACGCGTGGTTCCCAATAGAATGCCAGGGAGCACGAGTTCATTTTGTTCAGGAATAGTTTATTACAATTGCATTTTCATTTTTAGGTTATCTACATTTGTCTTCCGGCATAATTTTCCATCAATTATATCTCCAAGGATTCTATTTTCATACAGTTTTTCTATTTCAATTGAATTTACCATGATTTTGACTTGATGTTTAGTTGGTCTAGTGCCAATAACAATTAACTTTCCTTTTGTTTTTGTTTTTTTTGGGGGGGGGGATAATTTGTGTAAGACCAATTTTTTAACATGTTCAATACACTTTCCACAGTAGTCAGAAGCTGTTTCAGAATTTCTCCAGAGCAGGAGTGTCATTGGCAAATAAGACACTTGTAAGTAGTTTTGAGACACAGCAAATATCATTTATATACAATATGAATAGCGGTATGACGTTCATCTTGTCTTCTTATTAGTTGAATTAGGTTTCAGGTTTCTTTTTTTTTCTTTTTTTTTTTTGTAAGTGAAGAGGAAAAACTCTTATTGGGCTGACAGTTTCGGCTGTCACTTCAGCCTTCATCGGAGATGTTACTGCTTCCTTGTGATGAGTCTTAAAAACAGCTGACCGGGTGTAGAAATCTTCAAAATAAGGCTCCTTGGTCAAGGCTGCGATTCAACCCCTTAACGCCATTGAAGCAGCGTGTCCCAGGTGTGTGGGAGCATGTAAGCCCCCCTCATCATTGTTGATGGTGCCATCTCTACGCCTCCTTATTTCGATTGCCTCCTTGATCGGTCTTTTGAATTAATTGGTTTCTGATTTGATGACTTTCTCTTTCTCCCAGTCCAAGATGTGATTATTTCTTCTGCAGTGGTCTGTTATGGCTGATTTCTTAGTTTCTTGTTCTGCTTTTTGTTTTTGTGTTCTGGTACAACGTCCTGATGTTTCTTTTTCACATTCTGTTTGATGTTCTTTTTTGCGGTTGCTGAATATTGGTCCAGTTTCTCCAATGTAAGTTTTGTTGCATGATTTTCATGGGATGTTTTCTCATGATGCGTTGAGTGGGTTCTGTAATTCTTCTGACATATGGAAGTGATATTTAGTTGTTGTTTTCACTGTTGGTTACTTGTTTGGGTTTCGTTTTTCTTGCTTTTTTTCTGGTGTTGGTTTTGTCTGGCTTGTTGTTTTCCTTTGCTGATGGCCCATTTGGGGTATTGTCAGATTGTAAGAGCGTGTTGTATGTAGTTTTCTTCTTTCTGTCTGTTCTGATGTTATTACGGCTGGACAGTGTTCTGACCACGGAGAGTTTGTGTGCTGTGGGATGTTCTGACGTCAAGAGGAGGTACTTGTCAGTATGTGTGGGTTTCCTGTATATTGTGATTTTTATGCTGCCGTGAAAGTGAAACTGATAGGATGCCTGGAATGCAGTCTACACGAAAACAAAAATATATAATAATAAGAAGATGCACATAGGCACACAAATCTTTTTTTCCTCTCCCTCCTCACATTTCTGCCTCCACTTGGGACCAGTCCGTGAGCTACTAACCGACTGCGATCGACACTTGGGCATGCCTCGTATAAAGTCTCAAACTCGGTGAACCAAAAACCTGCCTCTGTTCATCCTCCATGATGACCAAATCATGTTTTTCTTCAAGACTTAGTCTGTGGTGTATGAAACTTGGAATGAAGCCAAAGTTGAATCACTCTTTGTCTGACTTCTCGACTACGTTGATAATTTTTATGCAAGAGAATCTGTTTTAACTCTCTTTGCTTTTGTTGAATTAAAGTTGTTGTTAATGTAATGCACCTTAATTGTCGTCTAAGTCCCGTTTACATGTATTCACGAAAGATGCATGCTAGCTGAAGGTTCAAGCATCAGTCTTAAATTTTGAATATTCATCCCTTTCTCGACAGAATGCCAAAACCAAAGGAACTGCTCTCCTCCACATCTGGAAGCGACTCTGATAGTGATGTTGAAACAAAGGTTTGTTTTTTTGAGTTACACTTGCCATTTGGGAATGTTTGGTGGCAGTTTCTTGTCAATATAATCCCCTGTATACCCTAAAAATAATTCCCCAATGTATGTATGTACAGTAAGTATTCTCTAGTACGGAATCATATGTGCACTGTCCAATCCTTCCTTATAACAGAATTTTTTGTGGGAACCGACTACGGTGCATATCCTTTATGAACATGCAAGTATGTGAACAAAATGCATGTGTAACAACATAAGCAATGAAATGCAAAAAATATCTGCTCCAAACACAGTTTATAACACAAAAGCTGCAGTATACTGTACAGCTATATGAACAAAATATAGTATAACAAACTTAGGACTATTTGCTCTAAAATGAGACGAGTAACAGACCTGGTGGCTTTTCTTTCCACTCACTCACTGTCTCTAACTCGACCTCCCCTCGATCGCCACCCAAGACAGCGTTGCTCAGCTGATGTCATGCAATGAACTTTTAAAGCCAACCACAGAACTCTTTTAAGTCCTCGATGCCCATATTTGGCGCGATGGAACTCTCCTTCTCTCTAATTAGCATGATAACAGGTAAACCATTCCAGGAAACGTTCATTTACCCGACTGTCCGTCAGCCACAAGCAATTTACTCTGAGCAGCAATTCGGATGCATTCCACTCTATCTTCCACAAATCTAGCTTTCTACACAAATAGATATTGAGGTGCCTCTTGGCCAATGGGAGGACAGGATGATGCTCGGTAGTAGCCAATGGCAGAGCATGTTGCGTTCAAGAAACTTGGAGCTGTGAACGAAATAAAAAAATCGTTCACTATTCCAGTAAAACGCAAGCTAATAGAGTTACTTACATGTCGCCATTTAGTAGAATAAATAGCGGTGCGAACAGAGTAATTCCGTAGTATCGAGCGGGACTTGCTTGTGTTTGCGCCGCTGCGGGCTTCCGTATGGCTTCCGGGTTCCGGGTACTGGAACTTCTGTTGTTATGTATCGATCGGTAATATAATATCATAGTCAGAATTTTAATGCATAGGTTTTTAGTCCTGCTGAAGGATTTTCCGTTTGAAAGAAGTCCGTAGATGGGAATATTTACTGTATATTAAAGTATGACCATTTGAGAACACATTACTTTTTTAGGCGAAGAGAAAGAAGTCAAGTGCACCAGAGAAACCGGCTAAGAAGCCAAAGACAGGAGAGAGTGTTAAACCTGGCGGGTCTTCCAAAGGCAGCAGTAACACTGGCGACAACATGTTCCAAGTAAGTGCATTCAGCAGCTGCAGACATTGCATCCACAAAGGATACAAAAAGTACAGAGGGGACCAAAAAATTAGTTTGCTCATAAAACCCTTTTTTAGCCATGATGATTTCTGTTGGATGAATGGCAAGAGTTGGAAACACTCGTACAATGGAAGAACATTTGATTTTTCTGTCTGACACTACACAATGCCCGGCATATAAGAGAGAAATTTCTGTTTACTCAAATTTATTTCAAGAAAATAATACACAGTCAACAATTACAGTGATGAGCTGTGAACATACAGTACTTCCTTAATTCTGCCACTACATAAGATGTGGTTGTATGTGTTGTGTTAAGATTTGTTGATGTGCTTTTTTGGAAGAGTCGTTTTTATTTCTATTTTCTATTTATTTTATTGTTGTACATTCCAATGCAAATGTTCAATGTGTGGGACTTAGAGACACTGTGTCTTTTTAGTGTATTAAAAAAAAGATTGTTGATTTATTTATTTGTTTTAACTTTGCAGCCTAAATGGTTGCCAGTCATTAATTTGAGCAGAAGTGTTCCATCCAAAGCCTTGACTAACTCCACTCCAACAAAGTGTCATTGCACAAACAACGTCGATCAATAAAATTATTCGATTTTCTCTCTTTCAAAGAATGTTTCATGACCGCTCCTTCGTGTTTTCAGCCTGATTAGACTGTGGATTGTTCAAGGTGCTATAAACCTGAGTATAAGTCAAAACTCAAGTCGACAGCTTTTTATTTATTTTTATTTTTTTAACAGATTGGAAGGATGAGATATGTCTCCGTCCGGGACTTCAAAGGTAAAGTTCTGATCGACATCAGAGAGTACTGGATGAATCCAGACGGTGATATAAAGCCTGGGAAGAAAGGTAAACCCATGAGAGCATACTTGCCATTAAATTGTCTTGTCTGGTTCAGTACGACACTTTTCTGCTTCATTGATATCAAAACGTCTGGCTGCCGCTGCTCACCTACACTGTGGTTTTATTGTTCTTGTTCCTGATTGTAAAGTGTCCTTGGGTGTTTTGAAAGGCGCTCATAAATAAAATGTATTATTATTGTTATTATTATTATTATTATAAAGCTGTGACATGGAAAAGGCTTAGGATGAGGCCCAACTGACAAGGTTATTAGTGAGCACAAAATTGAGTAGCAAACACATCAGTTTTATTTCAAACCTGCAATTTCAACATTGACCTCAAATGATTTCAAGACTCAACCTTGACTTCTTACCCTGTTACTTGTTAATTTACTTGTTGTTGATTTACTCCACCGATACAAAATTTTGGAGGATTGTCATGGCAGATGGATAGAATTTTCAGTAGGACAGCCGAAATAGCCGATGGCTGCAGCCCTAAATGTGAGTGGGCAGCTGTGAATGATGGCAATCAATAGAAGGTAGAATACAACCTCAACACAGCAGTGTCTGGGAACTCAAGCAAGCTGATGTTTTTGGTTTGTTTGTTTTTTTAAATTTCCTGGAGAAGTTATACTTTGGAAAGCTTGATGATTGTGACCGATATCTTGTGTAAATGATGCTGTGGCACCTTCATTGTCCTCACAAGATTAGTACATGAATTATAGCTACAATGCCTGGAATTCATCTCTGCAAACATCCACCCATTATCTGAAACGCTTATCCTTATCCTGCTGGAGACTTCACACGAGGGTGGGCGATAGAAATCACCTTTGATATTATCGCAAGCTTTAAAAACCATGTGCAATTTTACATAGTCCAGCATTCATACTGTCTTGAATAGAGAACAGTGAAACAGGTGCATGGATAGCAAAGTTCGCCAAGTCAGTGGACAGGGTTCAGTCACATGACTCATTGTCAAGCAAAACACAACATGGTTTCACATGGAGGAAATATGCCACGCCGTTCTATGGAATGATTTAATAGCAAGACGTGGGCGCACGTCCCGAGCCAGTCAATGGTTTGGGTTGACAAAAACACGTCAGTCAAAATACTCTTTTTGGAAGCAGTGCTGAAAAACCGTCATGGCGAAGGGCAGTGAGGGATACGTAAAGCTTGGCGACTCCAAGCACGACTGCCGTGAAGCCAAAATAAGCAGGCTGCACTACACACTCAGAAAACCCTCACCGAGTCATTTACCAAACGCATAAGCGATATGACACAGCAAGTAAATCCCATTCAATATCTGTGATGTGGTCTGCAAAGGGTTAGAGGGGTAGACTCCTACGCAAAAAAACTGAGTGCTCTAGTAAAGTTGTGTAAAAACATGGCACATGAATGGTGTTGGTCAGACTTTGTGTCCAAAGTACCCAATTGGGACCATGTTGAATCCTCACTGCTCAGATTCAGACAAAACGAAGCAAACCTAACACAAGATACTTCACAATGCAGATGCTTTACGACTCAAAACCTACAGCAGAAGCTTTCTTAACACTTAAAATTACGTCCCAAGTAAACCCCAAACCTGCCAACCTTTCTCCAACGAAATTAGATACACTGCCCTCCATAATTATTGGAACACCTGGTTAAGATGTGTTCTTCTCAGAGACCCCATCCCAAAAAAAAAAAAAAATGCATGTTAGATAAACGGAACACTCTAAATCAGTGTTTTTCAATCTTTTCGAGCCAAGGCACATTTCTTTCATTGAAAAAATCCCACGGCACACCACTACCTGAAAATGTGAAAAAAGCTTCTTTTAACAATTGTTATATTGTTACTATAAGTGTTTTCTTAACATTGAAAATTAACGCTATATTGTAACACATTGAATAGGAATCAAATCAACATCAATCCAATATTTGGTGCATTCGTTTTAATGGCAAGTAAAATATAGTCAATTAGAACTTTAACTTGCTCAGGTTCGGATTTTTTTCTGTGTGACAGCCGGTTCTTCTTCTCCCGGTCGTTTGCGCTCTCCCGCAATATTGTACCAATCCCTTTTCCCATCTTGAGTCTTTATATAATTCAAAGGACTTTTGTTCTGAATGTGTCACTTGAGGTAGTCCAGCTTCCATTTTGTCCGTATTTTTCCATCGGAAAATTTGCTTCCAGCTTAAGCTTTGCGGCATGTTTTGCAGAGCAGATCTTTCTCACTCGAAAAAGAAAATATCTCACCCAGTTTCACTGCTTGTTCTTCTATTTGCACATACTGTGACAGCCGTTTCAACTTAAAAGACCCACAGTTCATTCTTATTTTGGTTTGGAGAGTCGACATATGTTCACTGCCCGGTCCTTTCACCATGATAAAGGATTAGCATTAGCGTCACTTATCGCCGCCGCACTGTTATTGTTATGGAGCAGAGAAGAGGCGCAAGTACTGTCAATGCTGTGATTGGCTGCATAGCGTCATTGCATCTTATCGTGTGATTGGCTGGACAGCTGTCACTCACTGAATTACACAGCAAATTGATACAGAAAAACAAGTTATATATCTGATTCATTTGCAGTGCGATCACTGCGCTGGATAGGTTTTCTTGTGGGCTGAGAGTGTGCGACCAGTGCGCAGTTGCTCAGCTTAGAGGGCACATTGGTGCCGTTGTATCCCCAGTAAACGGAAATCTCAATGAAAGATCCCTTTTATTGTATTGCCTCGCGTCGGAAACTTCGCTTGTCTCAAAGCAGAAGGCAATTTCCTAGCTGTTGCTGCTCCCTACTGGTATGGAAGAGTACTACATGATTATTCTTCCAGGCGATCGACCACATTACATTACACATATTGTATAATTTCCCACGGCACACCTGACAATATCTCGCGCCACGGTTTGAAAAACACTGCTCTAAATTGTCTCTAGATGTGATTGTGAATGTGTGTCTTTGTGTGCCATGCGATTGGCTGGCAACCAGTTCAGGGTGTCCCCTGCCTACTGCCTGAAGACAACTGGAATAGGCTCCAGTACACCCGTGGCCCTCGTGGGGATAAGCAGATTAGAAATTGGATGGAAGATGGGAGAATACAGAAAGAGGGACCTTCGAACAGTCCTCTTTTTGCAATCGCTCTCCATCATCCAGCAACATGAGTCCTCTCCTCTGCGCCCTCAATAGCTCACTTCACAGGTTTTCAATGGGGTTGAGGTCTGGGGATTGAGATGGCCGTGGGAGGAGCTTGATTCTGTGTCTGGTCTCTACAATTTTCAGTATGAGAGTATGCTTCTGCAATTACATGTAATATAGGCAACGTTCTTGTGGAAGTTAGTTTTTTGTGTGTTTATTTTAAATCATACTGGCATCACATATTTAAATAGTTTTTTTGCTCTCTCTCTCTCTCTCTCTCTCTCTCTCTCTCTCTCTCTCTCTCAAATCTTACAGGCATCTCCCTGAATCCAGAGCAGTGGAACCAACTGAAGGACCAGATTTCAGAAATCGATGACGCCATTAAGAGTATATAAGCAATCCTTGGAACCTTTGAAAATGTTGGCTAATTCATTTTGTAAAAAGCCTGCTATTCTTTTGTAACTGACTTTGATAAAATATTTCATTTGTCACAGTTTAGTGTTAGTGCTGTGGCATTGTTTGTTTTTTATGTTGTTGTTTTTTTCCATGCTGAGCTTATAGAGCTGTGTACCTTTTGAACTGTGTAGTAGTGATGATGACGGTAAATGGCAGTTACTCATCATAGTGTGGCACATTACAGTTCGTAGTAAAACTAAGACAGGTGATTGGAATTCAAGTTTTGCTAATATGTGAATTTATGTTCATAGTATGACTGTCACAGGAAGCAAAACTTTTTAACTACTCTTTAAATTAAGAGTGATGATTGATACTGTATATATCTGATGATTGAGCTCATCGGGTCAAATCCCTCCAAGCTATTAAATTGAAAACAAAATTTAGAGAATTTTTCATTGGTGAATTTGAATGAACATATAGTGTCAGGCCATAAATGACAGTGCACTACTACCCATTATCATTTGGACAGCCATATCTAAAGTACATTACATCTTGAGGTGATAAGAATGAGAAACCAGATTGCCCGGAAAGAACCTATTCCCACACATGTATTCCTGTCACCGTAAGGTATTGAACACATACAAATTCAGAACCTTCTTGCTGGAAGGCAGAGCTTCTCTGCTGTAGCAAATACAGCATTATAGAGATACACAAGCCGATGAGTCCATGTCAGATATAAACAGGGAAAAAAAAGACATTTGTGTTTGTAAGGTTAGTTCTGTGTTGTTGTTCTGTGTCTTCAGAATAAATATACAATTGGAAGGCCTCTTGATTACCATTTTAAACTGTGACATGTTTGCAAGGAACAGCCCGATGTGACGAGGAGCGAGACTGAATGGGGGTGAGCGTTGTCATCTTAGAGAGGAAAGCGTTTGGTCCCAGACTGGAGTGCTGTCACGATTCGGACAAGCCGAATTAAGTTTGGAATCCCAAAAAGTGTAGACACCAACAAGGTCTCCGTAGCAAAAATGTTTTAATATACAAAAAAGTATAAAGTAGTAACATAAAACGCTGGTCCAAACGGACCAGGGAGTACAAAAAACAATTCACGAAAAGCGCTTGCACAAAAGGCAAGGGGTGAAAACAAGAACCGAGAAATATAAAACGAAAAACAAATGTATCAACATACACGCAAGCAAAAGCCGAATCAAAAAATAAAAACCATACTTACAATATCAATAGTACCGAGAATTCTAAGCGAAACAACGACAAGATCGACAGCAAAAGGGTCTATGAGCAAGGAAGCAGCAAAGCATAAACAATACTCCGACACAGGTGAACTGAAGCAGAGTCCTTAAATACATAGTCCCCTAATGACTGGAATGGCAGCAGGTGTGCACAGAAGACCGCACATGCCACCTGCTGGTCAGACCAGAAACCGAACCGTGACAACATGACTTTGACTTTATATCCTGGCGGACCACCCGGCTTCGAAGGGTGCGCAGCATGGAAAGTACGGAGCAGGGACGGATCCAACATCCAGGAGCGGGGGACCCACTGCCGTAGCCCTCCCAGTCGACCAAATACTGGAACCCCTCACCCCTGCGCCGAGAGTCCAAAATTTCCCGCACCGTGTACACCAGGTCCCCATCGATAATCCGCGGAGGAGGAGGCGAGGTGGGGGGAGGAGCCAGGGGACTAGTAGCCACCGGTTTGAGCAGGGAAACGTGGAAAACGGGGTGAACCTTCATGGTGGGCGGCAAGCGGAGCTTGACGGAGACGGGGCTGACGACCGACTCCACTGCGAACGGTCCCGTGAAGCGAGGACCCAACTTGCCCGAGGTGCCAGCCAGCCGCAAATCCCTCGTCGACAGCCACACCTCCTGGCCCACCTGGTAGGCTGGTGCCGGGCGACGACGACGATCTGCAATAGTCCGGTTCCTGGAGGCGGTGCGAGACAACGCTGCCCTGGTCTCCCTCCACATGCGATGAGCCCGCCGAAGATGAAGCTGCACAGACGGTACCTCCACCTGCCCTTCCTCAGAAGGAAAAAGCGGTGGCTGATAGCCATAGGCAGCCATAAAAGGAGATTGACCCGTGGCAGACGAGACGAGGGTGTTATGGGCGTATTCCACCCAAGGCAGGTGAACAGACCATGATGAGGGACGGTGAAGACACACGCACCGCAGAGCCGCCTCCAGGTCCTGGTTCATGCGTTCAGTCTGTCCATTGGACTGCGGATGGTAACCCGACGACAGACTGGCTGTGGCTCCCATGGCACGACAGAACCACTTCCACACTCTCGAAACAAATTGGGGACCCCGGTCAGACACAATGTCCACCGGGATCCCATGGAGACGGAAGACATGGCTGATGAGGAGGTCCGCGGTCTCCAGGGCAGAGGGCAACTTGGACAACGGAACAAAGTGAGCGGACTTTGAGAAGCGGTCCACAATGGCGAGTATGACAGTCTTTCCTTGGGAAGGAGGAAGGCCAGTGACAAAGTCCATGGATATGTGGGACCAGGGTCGAGGTGGAACTGGTAGGGGTTGAAGTAACCCCGCCGGAGGCTGGTGAGAAGCCTTACTGCAGGCGCAGGTGGAGCAGCCCTTGACAAAATCCCGAAGATCCTTCCGCAGCTCCTGCCACCAAAACCGCTGAGAGATGAGCTGAAAGGTCCGGTTCACCCCAGGATGGCAAGCCACCTTAGACGAGTGCCCCCACTGCAACACCTCCGAGCGGCGCAGAGGTGGGGGTACAAAAAGCTTCCCTGCGGGACAGCCAGCCGGGACTTGGGTACTGTCTTGGGCCTCCTGGATCCTCCGCTCTATCTCCCACCTCAGTGCCCCCAAGATGCAGTGGTCAGGGAGGATGCTCCGAGGTTCGCTGCTCCTCTCCGGGGAAGGCCTCTCCCTCCCCCGGGAGCCAATGTCGCCATTCTTGCAGAGCCAAAACGACTGCTAGAAGTTCACGGTTTCCCACGTCGTAGTTGGCTTCGGCTGGACTGAGACGACGAGAGAAGAAGGCGCAAGGGTGGAGTCTTTGGTCGACTGGGTATCGCTGCGACAATACTGCCCCCACTCCTGTATCCGAAGCGTCTACCTCTACAACAAAAGGATGATCTGAGTTCGGATGTTGCAAAACCGGAGGGTTAGTGAAGGCCTTCTTTAATTCCGAAAACGCATTGTCGGCGTCTGAGTCCCACTTAAAGGGAACCTTAACTGAGGTTAACCGGGTTAAAGGAAGGGCCCTCTGGCTGTAATTTCTGATGAACCGGCAATAGAAGTTAGCGAAACCCAAGAAACGTTGCAGCTGTTTTCTAGTGGTGGGTGTAGGCCACTGTACTACTGCCTTAATCTTGGCGAAGTCAGCTCTCAGCTGACCCTTTTCTATAACGAAACCGAGGAAAGAAATAGACTCGACATGAAACTCGCACTTCTCGGCTTTGACGAATAGTCGGTTCTCTAAGAGACACTGCAGGACGAGTCTGACGTGGTGTTGGTGCTCTTGAAGTGTCCGAGAAAAAAATCAATATGTTGTCGAAGTAAACAAAACAAAACACGTTCAGAAAATCTCTTAACACGTCATTAATGAGACTCTGGAACACGGCGGGTGCGTTAGTTAGTCCAAAAGGCATGACCAAATACTCAAAATGCCCCAAAGGGGTCTTGAATGCTGTCTTCCATTCGTCCCCCTCCCGAATGCGGATCAGATGGTAAGCACTGCGTAGATCTAGTTTGGAAAAGATAGTGGCAGATTGGAGGGGGGCGAACGCCGAATCTAACAACGGAAGTGGATATTATTTTTTGATGGTGATCTCATTGAGCCCCCGATAGTCGACACAAGGTCGTAACGATTTGTCTTTCTTCTCAATGAAGAAGAACCCAGCCCCCAAAGGGGATATAGATGGCCTAATAAGGCCCGCCGAGAGAGAGCTGTCTATGTACTCCCTTAACGCTTCTTGTTCCGCGTAGGAAACCTGATAAAGGCGTGAACTCGGTAGACTGGCGTTCGCGAGCAACTCAATGGCGCAATCGTACGGCCGGTGCGGCGGCAAGGACTGAGCGCGGTCTTTACTAAATACTTGACACAAATCATGGTAGATACCCGGAACCTTATCCAAACAAATGGACTCAGGTGGATCGTTACGTTTCGGCCCTCTACTACCCGCCGCCGACTGCAGACAGTGGGCATAACAGAACGGACTCCAGTTCTCAATTGCGGGACGTTCCCAAGTGATGACAGGATTATGGGATCTTAACCATGGCAACCCCAAGATTAACGGTACGGATCAGGACGGCATAAGATAAAACTTTCTATATTCAATGTGATTGCCGGATATTCGTAGCTTTAAAAGGCCGGTGACCTGTTTCACCTCCGCCAGGAGTCGCCCATCTAGATCGTGAACCCTCTTAACGTCATTTAACTCCTCCACCGGACAACCCAGTTCGTTAGCCATCTTGGGGTCTATAAAACAATCATCCGCCCCAGAGTCCACCAGAGCCCGAATGGGAAAAGCCCGTGACGGACCATAAATAGTGCCGTCCAGCTCCAGTCTCTTGGGGAGTCCCGACCTGGACTCCTCCCTTCTCGGCTCCCGTGATTCATTGCTGGGTGCAAACTCACGTTTGTCGGTGCGGGTAGCAAGGCGGGTCGGGGTCAAAGAACAGTCGGGGACTCGATGTCCCTGTTGACCGCAGTAAAAACAGGCCTGGTCCCGAATCCGGCGCCGTCTTTCCTCCGGCCCCACATGTCCTCCTACCAGCTGCATGGGCTCCCCCTCTGCATCGACAGTCCCGGGGTGATGCTCTGCTCCGGACAGCCGCAGGAGCTCGTGGGAAGCGGGCTGACCACCAGCACGACGGGACTGGAAACTGACCCAATCCTGTTCGTCTCCGCGTTCCCGTTCTCGTTCTCGCATGCGGTTATCCAATACGAGGGCCAGATTAATGAGTTCCTCCAAGGTTGTGCTCTCATCGCGGGGAGCCAGTTCATCCTTCAAAGAAGAATTTAAACTGCGACGAAACAAACCACAGAGAGCGCGGTCATCATAACCACTCTGGGTGGCCAAGATACGAAACGAAATTGAGTATTCGGCAACGGATTGCTTCCCTTGCCGAATAGCCAATAGCCGTCCTTCGGCCTCTCTTCCCATGACAGGATGGTGGAACACACGACGGAACGCTGACACAAAATCAGGGAAGGAAGACCGAAGCCCGGGTTGATCTTTGCTTACTTCCACCGCCCATGAGGCCGCCTGACCAGTCAACAAGCTCATTATAAATGCCACTTTGGTTTTGTCCTGAACATAGGTGTATGGTTGTTGGTCGAACACCAGTGAGCATTGGTGTAGAAATTGTCCACACAGCCCCGGTTCGCCCCCATAACGTGGTGGGTGTGGGAGATCAGGTTCCCGGTCCACAATCGGGGTGGATGGTACTTCGGTGGTCGTTTTAGGAGTTCCCGAGGAAGGTGTTCCTCGGTTGCTCGATTGTTCCACCGGGGAACACAAATTCTCGAGCCGATGAGCCAGCAGGGAGACCACTTCCTGGAGTTCCGCAAGCGCTTGTTCCTGCTGGCCCACCAATTGTCCTTGGCTGGTCAAGGCGGTCAGAATCTTGTTAATGTCTACGGGATCCATTATGGTCGGAGTATTATGTCACAATTCGGACAAGCCGAATTAAGTTTGGAATCCCAAAAAGTGTAGACACCAACAAGCTCTCCGTAGCAAAAATGTTTTAATATACAAAAATCGCACCGATAAAGGAGTAACATAAAACGCTGGTCCAAACGGACCAGGGAGTACAAAAAGCAATTAACGAAAAGC